CTTTCATAAGCCCAGCGAACTGTTGTTCGCGCCGGCAGCACTGTAGCTGCATTCCGGAGAACGTTGACGTGCTAGAGAGACGTGTAAATTATCCGTACAGTTTATATATGTAAAACTGTTCCTTAAAGTGCAATTATAAAGTATTCGTTGCATAATTATAACATGCACTTGGTGCCGTATTAACAACAAAATTATAATTATAAATTACAACATTATAAACTTTGTTAAAAGTAAACTTATCGTGCGTGTGTATGTGTGAGTGACTCACTAGTCAAACAAACATTTTTCCAGCAAAACAAAAAAGTTAAATAAAAATATAAAAAAAACAATAACCGTCTCAATAAAAAAACATTTCGCAATTGTAAAAAATCAAACGCCGTGACTAACTTAAAATGAGTCAAGTGAGCATTTTTGAACTGCCCACCGAGTGCCTGTTTGAAATATTTAAGTACATAAAAGAGAACTGCGAGAGAGAGAAACCAAATGCGCCCGACGAAATCACGTATGAAGATTTCATTAGTTTGGCCATTTGCTGCGAATCGTTTGACGATCTGATCCAGGAATGGAAAATTGATCTATATGACAGGCTTTGGGAAAATGTGCGCCTTCCGAGGATCATAACTCACATCGACTTTGAAGATGTGAATGCCATGTTAAAGAGAAGGTCAGCAAAAGAAAAGGAAACCTACTGGAGGGAGCTCAGCCACATTATCAGGGACGCTCCTGTGACCACTATCTCATTGCGTTACGCTCCCAAATCATTCCACAGTGATCACTTGAAAGCATTTCAGACCGTCTTATGTGAACTACAAAACAAGTTAAATCTGCAAAGGTTGGACATTTATGTACGGGGTGAGAGCATTATACGTCTAGGTCTAGGGGTTTACATTTGTAGCACGTAACATTTCTTTATTTTCAGGCTTCACCGTAAAAGGTCTGGGAGGAATTAGAAGCCTCGAGACACTCCGGTTAGATATCCGGATGGATATTGATGATTTGATTGAAATCTGCCGCCTGAACAAAAACTTGCGAGTTCTGGAATACATGAATAATGAAACGGGAGGAAAGGGCACTCTTAAACCTCTGCTGGAGGCATTGGTCGCAAATCAGAGCAAAGTCCTCGAAAAATTGTGCATATACAATGTACCATTGGACCACAATGAAACGCAGGCAATGGCCCAGATCGATACATTAACTCAAGTGGAGTGTGGATTTGACGATCACCAGAGCATTGGGCTCTTGTACCAGCTGACCAAACTCAACCACTTGAAGATACTGTCCAAACAAGACTTTGGGGTAATATCGGAGCAAGTTCTGAGGATTTTAGTGGATTCAAAGACTTATACGAACATTGAGCTAGTCAGTTTGACAATATCATATGAACCATGTGGAAAACTTACACTTGATTTGAGAGAGCAGAATGCAAACGCCTCCGACTACAGTTCATTTTTGACGCTGCCAGGTTTGTCTTCGCTGGTAATTGTAAAATCGCCCCAAGGTGGTTCACGTAAGTCGATTCTCAATGGATTCAGAAACGCACCCATAATGCCGAGCTTGTGGTTGGGAAATATCACGGCAGAGGAATTTGCAGCTGTATCTGAAATCGCGTCCCTGAAGAGATTGACGTGTGGATTTGCCAAAACTCAAAACGCTGAGCTCCTAGCGCTGCTACCCGTGCTCGAGGAATTGACTATTACATATGTGCCATCATCTCCAGGATCCCTCCAGGGCCTCCTGGCTGCACTAGCTTCGAGGGAGTTGCAGACATTACAAAAGCTGAGTTTGAAAGTTGTGATCGATACCGTGGATGCAAAGGAACTGGCCCGTCTGAGATCTTTGCGAACTTTGGAATGTCAGTTCGCTGATCCTCTGGACATTCTGCTTCTGTCTCAACTCCCCGAACTCGAAAAGCTGAACCTAAATGCCATTGACATGCTAGACCAGATATCGCCTTTGGTCCTTATAGTTATAAAGTCCTGCAAAAAGTTGGCTGAAATTCATATCAAGTGTAATACAATCCACTCCGGTCATGTCGACATGAAATCGTCTGAAATGCTCGTCGAAATGCTGGAGGCCTTCCAAGATAAACTTAATATACTGATCAACGACTGCAATATATTCGGGAATCGTGAAAAAAATATATTGATCGTTAAAATGGATTTCTTTAAAAAAAATAAACTCGCGATAGAATCCTTAGCCCGTGTTCAATCTCTAAACCATATGGAAATACAATCCCTCGAAGTTGGGGAACTGAGGGATCTCTTTGCCGCCCTAGCGATGAGAACTAATTCCAATCTACAGAGTCTGTGCATTCCCTACAGTTCGCTCGACTTTAGTGAGACTACGGAATTGGCCAAGATTACTTCGTTGACCAAATTGAAAGGCCACATCTCCGATAAACGAAGTCTCCAACACTTACTCCATTTAAGCAATTTCGAAGTTTTGAATGGATTAGAATGGAGAGGACAGCTTCGCAGGTTTGTAAACAAATCATAGGTCGATCGCAAAAGTTTAAACTTTTTTTCTAATCCATCCATCCTCCCCTAGAAGCATCACGTTCGATAAGTTCACTGGGCAATTGACTATTATTAACCTTACGGCCAATGAATTACCTGACAACATTGGACTGAATCCCCTAGCTAGCCTGCAGAATTTGCGGCACGTTACTATTTCTGGAGTCTATAAAGTGGGCTCCATGCGCGATTTCTTGGGCCAGCTGGCCACCTGTCAAGGGAAGACTCTGCAGACACTGCAGATATTTCCGAACGGAGATCTGAACTATGCAGAGCTGAGGGAAGTGATTCAAATGAAGTCCCTTCGAGCCCTGGCCTGCGGGTTATCCCAACTTAATATAATGCAAATAGAACAGCTGGGACTATTTCCTCAGCTAGAATCGCTGATTGTTGTTTCCCATCGAACGGACTCTTTAGGGAGCCTACTTTGGATTCTTGCCAAGAAGTGCCCCACACTAAGAAATCTGACTGTAATGGGCGAAAGTCTCACCCCCCAAGAGGTGACCAATGTATCTGCTATAAGTTCCTTGAAGCGACTCGAGTGCGGGTTCTGCAGCACAAAGGGTCTCGATGTATTGTCACAGCGTTCCTGCATCGAGGAGCTGGTCATGAAAACTAGGAACGGTGAAGCCCCTCTGGTAGATCTGCTGACTGCTTATGCAGCTTCTGGCGAATCAAAGATTCAGAAATTAACTATCGATGGTCCGGCAGTCGGTCAGGAATTAGCTACCGTACTAAGCCATGTTCTCCGCATTCCGAGACTGAAGTCCTTGAAGCTCCCAATCAAAGATACCCAGGGCATTGAGCTATTGGCAGAGTTTTTGCATTTAGAAGAGTTGATTCTCTCCTCGGACCCCGAAAGAGGTTCTCTAGCAGTTCTCTTCCGGGCACTGTCACTGAAGGACTCCACCAAATTAAAGAACTTGGTTATAGAGAACACATCCATTAGCCCTGAAGAGGCTCGCCACCTCATGCAGGTGGACTCAATCACAAGCCTTAAGTTTGACTTCAAAGACGAAGAAATCTTCCCCCTCTTGGCTAACATGACTAATCTTGAGAATCTGGAAATCACCACGGATCATGAATTTGGAAATAATAATCTTGCTGGTCATCTCCTTGACATCTTGCGAGGATGTCGAAAACTTAAGACAATTAATTTGGGAATCACACCACGCTGCATCTCCCGTGACTTCCTGAAAAAGTCTTTAGACGTACTGAAATCAGTGAGGGATCCCGCAACTCAACCTCCATTGGAACTACGAAATTATGGTGAATTTATATGACGAGGTAAGCGAAAAGTATATACCGCAGGATAAGCATCCAACGTATCAAATTATGCTTTCGTACTCTCAGATCTTTCAGATGACTACCGCCGATGAAACGTATTTGAATGTCATTAAATGACATTGACAGCATCATTATTAGACGTGAGCGAGGAAGAGAGTACTCGTACTCGGAGAGTTAAGGGGCATATTAGATTTGTCGTAAATGTGGATGTCGGGTCAATCAGCCTAAATATTATTTAATTATGTTCATTATTTGCACTGTACAAATCATTGTTAATCAGCCTATGTTATGCACGGCAGCGGCAGCTCTTTCATTTTATCTCGCCTTCTTCGCTTTGTTGTTGCAGTTGCAGCATCTAAGCTGGTCTCTCGCGTTCCATATGACGTTCGTGCTCGGCATCTGCTGCCATCTGCCCCGATCTGCTTTCCTTTCATCGCTCGTTTTCGCTCTCTTTCAACACTTGCTGTATAGGGCGCTGGCAAGTCGGCCCATTTGCCCTTGTATCCAGTTAAGAGATAATCTTCGTATCAATCGCATCGCTTTTTTATATCGATCATACTGACGCCTACTTTACATTACCAATACAAAATAAATTGTACATTACCCATTGAAACGCTAGACTTTTTTCTTAAAATCAAACGAGTTTCAACGGCTATAAAAACTCTTAATAGCCAAACAGTGGATGTGTGGAGCGCAGAGGAGGAAACGTTTCCGACCCCATTAAGTAAGTGTATATATCAGAGGCCGGCAGCGTCGTATGCACTGTGCATAGGAAAAAATTTCGGGCAGCGCAGTCGGAACACGTACAGCGTAAAACTTCGTGTGGTTTCGTTATTCTGCCCTGCTGATGTAGCGGCAGAGAAACATGCTACGGGCTATGCACAAAGGCTTCATATTCTGCTCGCTTGCCTCAGCGGCAGAGAAGCATTCGTGTGCCCTATGCACAATTCCTTGGCTTTCGCAGCGGCAGAGAAACAAGTAACGTATTTGACTTCGTGTCTGTTGTCTTCGCACACAAACGCACCAAAAAAATGTGTGAGGCTGTGTGCCGACCCCTGGTATATATTCTTGATCAGCATCAAGAGAAGAATCGATATAGCCCTGTATTCCCCCCTGAGAAAAAGAATAGGCCCCCCATTACTCTTCCTAGCATTCAGACTAGTGCTCCATCTCCATCCTCATCTTCCACCTCAACTTCCACCCATCCAAAAAACTAACTTCCTCTCTTGTAGTTACCTACCAGAATGCTAGAGGCTTGCGTAGTTAGCTCAGCACTCTTTTCCTTGAGAGTCTCGCATTCTCATCCCACGTTATTGTGTTCACCGAGACCTGGTTAAAGCCGGACATCCTTAGTTCCGAAGTTTTGGCAGGTCGGTACACAATTTTTAGAAATGACCGTTCGTCTCGACGTGGAGGTGGGGTCCTTATTGCAGTGGACTCAAATTTCACGTCGGAACATTTCATGGTCCAGGTTCAACAAGACCTGGAATTCCTGTGCGTAAAACTGATTCTCCCAGGCTTTTCCATTTTCATTACTTGCTCGTATATTCCACCTTCCTCGGATATCTTAATATACGAGCATCACCTGACCGCTTTAAAAACTGTTTCTTCCTCGCTATCAGATAAAGACCATATGATAGTTCTTGGTGATTTTAATTTGCCAGGTGCTGTTTGGTCTTCGGTAAACGAGTCTAATAACCTTGTGCCCATGTCACGACATGACTTTATCGACGGCTTGCTAGACCTATCCCTGTCTCAAGTCAACCATGTGAAAAATTCCTTGGGTCGATTGCTTGATCTGTGCTGTGACGATTAACGAGGAGAATCCTCGGGCAATGAAGCGGGTGGTCGACAACGTTGGAAGGAGTACGCGCTTGCTCCTACGCACTATGGTCCCAATGACCACTTTTGTTGGCCAAAACCCATTTTTCAAAAGTTAAAAAATAACCCTGGTTTTGATCACTCTGTATTAGAAAAAGAGTGAGCTCATAAGTTGCGTACCAGAAATGTCCATAGATGGCGCCATATTCGCAAAATCAGCTGTGCAACCCAGCTGTTCTTGCTGAACAGCACCCGCAGTGAAAAAGTGGCAATTTAATTACAGTTTTAAATCTCTCATAAATTGAAAAATACGATTAACCGATCAAATTTTTTGATTGAATCTTAATTTGTTGGGTTTTTACTACGTGTTTTGTATTGTTAACTGTATCTCGTAGTTGTGATGTCTTAGTACTTTTAGGTTAAAATGAGTCCTTTTTTTTTAGCCAATTTTGATTGAAAACTGATGTTTGAAAACGTATATTTAGTGAGTCCCACCTAGTGCCACCTTGAAATCTATTGTGTGATGTAGATTAATAAATTCTTGTTGAAATGTATATAGTAAGAAATACCATATTTGACCACAAATCTTAAAATTTTCATTAGTAGAATATAACCTCAAAATCAACAATACAGAGTTGTTTGGCGTTCTTTTTTGTGCTAAAACAATAAGTTGAATGCCCAGAGAAGGCTTAATTGATTCGCAAGACTGTACAGAACCCAGTAAGAAAACCGCAAACTTTCTGACCCAACGAGCACCCTGGAAAACGCGTTTTCCACCCTGACACAAGGGTTTTTCTCTAGGTGGCAACAATTACAACAATTTTTTTGTTTTCAAATCAAAATTTGTGTTGTTTTTATGCGTGCCACGCCTTTATAATTCTAATAAAAATTATTTAAACTAATTTCTTAATAAAACTGTTATAATTACTTCCTATTCCCTATCATTAACTATTTTTTAATATGCATTATCAAAAAAAAGGCGGTGCCACACCAATTTTTTTTTTTAAATCTTCTTCCTATTGATTATATATATACGATACAAGAAACTAATTTGAAAAATCTTGTTTCGTTTTCGAGTTATTAATTTTGGCCAACAAAAGTGGTTGTTGGGACCATAGTGCAGTGCTTTGTCTCGGATCCGACCATAGCGTTGTTAACCCGAGCCCTTCCGCTCAGTATACCTGAAGACTCCTACCATCCTACATTCGAAGTGTCAGTCGATATTGGCCCTACTGTATTGGATCGAATGGGTAGGCTATCTGAACGTGTCCGCTGCTTCCGTAAAGCCGAGTTTATGAAGCTTAATAACCTTATTAGGGATTTTGATTGGTCCGCTCTGTACTTGTGCACTGACGTTATGAAAGGCACATACATTTTTTACAATGTACTTGACACATTTTTTGATTCTTGTGTCCCACTTTCTTGTCCGGTTAGATCTGGAAAGCCTCCTTGGTTTACCAAGGAGTTATCCAGTCTAAAAAATTTAAAATCAAGACTTTATAAAAAATTTCAAGAAGTTGGTTCTCCCTCTTCTCTTTCTCACTATGTAATAGCTCGGGCAAATTTCTCCGTTCTTAACGCTCAATGTGTAAAAACTACCTATCTCGATGCAGGATACGATTTTTTACAGGACCCTAAACAGTTTTACAGCTTCGTAAATAGTAAGCGTAGAACGTCCGTACATCCATCCTCGTTATCTTTTTCTCAATATGTCAGCAAACAATGATCAGGCAATTGCCGATCTTTTTGCCAATTTTTCCAAACAACCTATTCTCATGAAAGCTACTCTGGTCAGCCGTATCCATACAGTTTACCAAGGTCGAATGGCATCTTCAGCCCCTTGTTAAATGAAAGCTCACTGCTTCATGATCTTCGACTAGTTAAGCCGGTGTTTTCGCCAGGTCCCTACGGAGTTCCCGGCTGTGTACTCAGGTACTGTGCCGACGCTCTGTGTGGACCCTTGCTTAAACTATTCACCCTATCCATTAACTCTTCATGCTTCCCCCCCCATCTGGAAGGAATCTTTTATTATTCCGCTCCATAAGAAAGGTAGCAAGTCTGATGCAAATAATTATAGAGGTATATCTAAGTTATCCGATATTCCTAAAATGTTTGAAAAAATTTTAATTCCGCACTTGCAACATCTCTGCAAATCACTTACATATATCTCCGTCCCAGCACGGATTTATAAGGCGACGATCAACAACCACAAATTTATTAGAGTTTACCTCTTTTATCATTAAGGGCTTTCAAGGTAACTTGCAGACGGATGTCATTTACACTGATTTTAGTAAAGCATTTGATTCTGTAAACCATTCTCTTTTAGCAAAAAAACTTGACCTTTTAGGGTTTCCGCCTAATCTTTTGAGATGGATTTCTAGCTACCTTTGTTCTAGGTCTCAAAGAGTCCTCTTCAAAAACTCCTTCTCTTCACCTGTTAAGGTTACTTTTGGAGTACCACAGGGCAGCCATCTAGGCCCCCTACTATTCACACTCTTTATTAATGATCTGCCTTCAGTATTAACAAACTCTCGAGTACTCATGTATGCGGATGATGTTAAACTTTGTGTCCAGTATAAGGACATTTCATTTCACTCTCGCTTGCAATCCAATCTCAATAACTTTCAATCATGGTGTTGTGCAAATATGTTAAACCTAAATGCCTCGAAATGCAAAGAATTGACATTTCATCGCTCCAGCCCCCTATTGGCTCCTTATAGCCTCTGCGGTGGTTCTCTTGAGAGAATTACCTTGGTTGATGATCTTGGTGTTAAATTAGACCCAAAGTTAAAGTTTTCTGAACACATTTCTACATTGGTAAATAAGGCCATGGGTGTGCTTGGGTTTATAAAGAGGTGGTCAAAGGAATTTGACGACCCCTATATAACGAAGACTCTCTATATCTCGCTTGTTCGTCCGATTTTAGAATACGGCTCTTGTGTATGGTGCCCCCAGTACAAAGTACACCAGGACCATATAGAATCAGTGCAGAAAACTCTTATCCTCGTAGATTGCTTTTAATAAACCTTCCAACCTTAGTTAGTCGTAGAAAAATGCTTGGTGGGATTTTTATGCACAACCTGATCAAGGGTAGCCCTGACTTGTTGAGCCGCAT